CAAAGGATGATGCTTGTGATGACCTTGATATTGGAAATTTTGTGTCTTATAAGGCTTTTTCACTTTCATATAAGGCGTTTGTTGCCTCCCTTCAAACTGTATCAATCCCAAAGCATTGGAAGGCTGCAAAGCAAGATCCGAAGTTGCGTGAAGCAATAATAGAAGAGTTGGAAGCACTGAGAAAAACAAGACGTGGGTGCTAACCACATTGCCAGCAGAAAAGAAAGCAGTGAGTTGTAAGTGGATCTATACAGTGAAGTAGAATCCCGAGGGGAAGGTGGAACGGTACGGCCAGATTGGTCGCCAGAGGATATAGTCAAACTTATGGAATTGACTATGATGAGACGTTTGCTCCCGTGGCAAAGATGAACACGGTAAGGATATTGGTCTCATGTGTTATAAACTTTGGGTGGAAGTTGCATCAATTAGATGTCAAGAATGCCTTCTTGCATGGTGAGTTGCAGGAAGAAGTGTACATGGAGATACCACCAGGTTTTGGTACTTCAAAGACCACGGGGAAGGTATGCAGGCTGAAGAAATCCTTGTATGGACTAAAGCAATCACCAAGGGCATGGTTTGATAGGTTCAGACTTGCGGTCCGTGGTATGGGGTATGGTCAGTGTAACGGTGACCACACCATGTTCTACAAGAACTTTGATCGAAAGATCATGATCCTTACTGTTTATGTGGATGACATTATCATCACTGGAGATGATAGGGAGGAAATAGAGAGATTGAAGGGCTGTCTGAGCAAGGAGTTTGAGGTAAAGGATTTGGGCAATCTAAAATACTTCCTTGGCATTGAAGTGGCTCGGACAGAGAAGGGAATCTCTATGTGCCAACAAAAATACACCTTGGATTTCTTGAGTGACATGGGCATGATGGGGTGTCGTGCTGCCCCTACTCCGATTGAACAAAATCATCAAGTGACAGCACAATCAGGAGAGCTAGTGAATAAGGAAGATTGTCATAAATTGGTTGGGAGGTTATTGTACTTGTGTCATACCAGGCCTGGCATTACATACGCCGTGGGGGTGGTGAGCAGATACATGCATGAATCAAGGAGTGGGCATCTTGATATTGTGCAGAGAATCCTGAGATACTTGAAGGGGACTCCGGGTAAAGGGTTGTGGTTTGGGAAGAGTGGACACCTTGAGGTGGATGGCTATAGTGACTTTGACTGGGCCAGTTGTCAAGATGATAGAAGATCCACTTCTGGCTACTACGTGTTTGCGGGAGGAAATTTGGTGTCATGGAGAAGCAAGAAACAACCGGTTGTGTCTAGATCAACAGCAGAAGCTGAGTATAGAGCATTATCTCAAGGATTATGTGAGATGCTTTGGGTGAAGTACCTACTGAGTGAGTTGAACCTTCTGAGGAAGGGACCCTTGAAGGTGTGCTGTGACAATCAGTCAGCTATAGCCATTGTTAATAACCCAGTTCAACATGATAGGACAAAGCATGTGGAAATTGATTTCATTAAGAAGAAACTTGATGTTGGGATCATCGGCCTTACTCATGTCAGCTCTGGGCAACAGTTTGCGGATTGCTTGACAAAGGTACTCGGAACAAAGGATTGTAACTTGGCATGTAGATGGAAATGATAGATACCTACCACCCATCTTGAGGGGAGTGTGGAACCAGTAATGGGCCCAAGTCCGTCTTCTTATCTCTTAGGTCCCAAGCCCATGTGGAGGTGCTGACCTAGAAAGGGGCATCCAGCCCTCCCGTTCCCAGAAGAGCCACCACACACGATAGACACCTCGCGCGAGTCACCAGACACCATGAGCTCTCCTATCTGAAGGTACTCCCCCTCTCGTCTCAACAAAATGTCTGTGCAGAAGAATGTGTGACCACACTGCTGACATAGAGTTTTATCCCACCACCAAATCGAAGTCCTCCTGGGCTATCGCCTCTGCTTTCCACGATCCCCAACAACTACATACAACTCATGATCAAGGCTTGAGCATGCAAAAGATGATAGCTACCTGCCACACAAAAAATCGGATGACGAAATTTCCCCGTTGTGTGCGTGACGAAGCCATAGACGAGGGAGGAGGTCACCAACATTGCCGTCCTTGCCTGCGGCAGCAAATTGGTGGCCGGCCAGCATACCAAGGAGTAATAATCTCCAGTATAGTCAGAAGAATCCCGCGTCGGTTGTGCTCGACGCCGCCGCTGCTTCACAGGTTTAACCTTTTCCTTTTTTGAGGATTCCTTCACTGGCTTAATCAAACCTGGCCACATGTCCCGGCTATGTATTAAAAAATGTTATAAAATTGGTACAGCCAGGACATGTATCTTTTTCTTTTTTGACTATGTATTAAAAAATGTTAAAAAATGGTACAGCCGGGACATAGGAAAAAAAGAAATAGCCGATGCGGGACATAGTAAAAAAAATCTTTAAAAATGGTACAGCCGGGACATGTACCAATTTTATAATACATAGTCAACATGTTTTCAAGATTAAGCCGGGACATCTACACAGGTTTAACATTTTTAAGCTTAACCAAACCCTTTTCTTTTTCTAGATTTGTATTTAACATTTTTCTAATAGATAGTCAACATTTTTTACACCATTTTTTTTAAATCAAGTGCTTGATTAACATTTTTCGAATCCAAGATTTACATTTTTAACACATGGTCAACATTTTTCCTATAAACATTTTAAACCTTTTTCAAATGCTTGATTAAAAATTTCAAATATAGGATTAACATTTTTCTAATACATCATAATATTTTTCTATGATTGTTTAACATTTGTCAAATGCTTTATCAATACCTTAAAGTGCAAGATTAACACTTTTTTAATGCATGGTCAATATTGTTTCTATACACATTTAACATTTTCCAAATGCTTGATTAAAATTTTTGAAATACTTCTTTAATATTTTTAAAAATGCTTGATTAATATTTTCATATGCATAATCAAAATATTTCATCATTTTTTTCACATGGTCAATATTTTTTCTAAACACATTCAACATATTTTTCAAACACTTTATTAACATTGTTCAAATACATTTTAAACATTTTTTGAAATTTTTGATTAACATATTTTAAATACATGATCAAGTTTTATAACAGACATTATATATTTGTCTGTATACATTTTTCGTATGCATGGTCAACATTTTTATATACACATTTAACATTTTAAAATGCATGATTAACATTTTTAAAACACTACAAAAATTATACTTTGTAATATATATATTTGGACTTTTTAGAAGTGTAAAGAACAGTTAAAAAAGAGGTAAACAAAGAAAACAAAAGGTCGAACAAACATAAAAAAGAGGCAATGGCCTCGCGCGATATGGGCCGGCCATTTGGGCCGGCGCCTCAGCGACAGCTGAGTCTGTCTCGCTTGCAGGGAGACATAGGGCGTATTTGGTTGATGTCCTCATCGCTTCGTGCGTCCCTGGAGTCTGCTTGAAAATTACCTGAAGAGTGTTTGGTTTAAATCCATGGCATAGAAGCTCGCCTGGCATGGCGACCTCAGAACTTTGCTTAGCCTGGCCGCTGACCCCAGGCACCTTGATTAGCCTCTCCCGGGCACTACGAATAGGTTGCCTGGGTGCTGCCTGGCAACCCATCTTTCTTTATTAGCAAGATTCTCTTGTGGGGCTAGGTCTGAAACAGACGCTTTTTTCACTGTAATCCTTCTTCAGGCTAGGTATGCAACCAAAACACTCCATGCCTGGGTAGGCAGAAAATTGCTAGTTCCCAGGCTGGGTCCAGGCATCATTTTTTCCCAGGCATGGAAGCCAGGTCGTGAACCAAACACGCCCATAGTCACGAGAGCTCCTATTGGGCGCGTTTAGCTTTCCTGGCGCCCACGCCCCATCCCTCGTGGGCCAGCCCATTTACATGGCTCACTGTTGACTTTTGAGAGAAAAAACAGAAAATCGAAATAGATTGTGAATTTAAAAATGTCATGATTCTGAAAATAAATCATTGGTTTGAAAAATATTCATTGAATTTGAAAACTAGTTCATCGAGTTTGAAAAAAAATCATCAATTAAAAAAAGATCATCGTAGTTGAGAAAAAGTTCATCGATTTGAAAAAAAGTTCATCCAATTTTTAAAAATGCCCATCAAATTTGAGAAAGAAAGTTCAACGATATGAAGAAAAAATTACGAATTTGAATAAAGTTCATCGAATTTTTTAAAAAATGGAAAAAGGAAATAAGAAAGGAGAAAGAAGAATAAAAAAGAAAATATATGTAACTAAACATATCTGGTGGTTTGGCTATGTGGTTACTGTCGATCGGGTTCGAAGCACTAAGCGACCGCAAAATAGGAATCGCCATTGCTTTTCGACCTTGTGGGCCGTGTCTTTTTAATATAAAAATTCAGAACAAGTTTTTTTAGGGAACTTAAATTTTAAGTAAAGTACAGAAAAATCTACCGCGCGGCCCAACCCAGGCCTGCAGCCGCACGCTGGCTCCCAGTTTCTCAAAAAAAAAAAACGCTGGCTCCCAGCCGAGACGCACACGCCGCCGCGCGGGACCTCCACGAGCGCGTCACCCCGGCGCACCCGCCGAGACTGCTGCGCCGCCGCGCCGCCGCGAGAAGGGCGGAGGTCCCCAGGGCGAGAGCGTCAAAAGGAGGAGAGGGAGGTGGGACAGGCGCCCTGCCGCCACCGCGGGCAGGCCGCCGCCGGCGCCGGCGACAGAGGAGGACGTGGCTGAGGGGGCTGAAGGTGAGGCGGCTGGAAATCGCCCGGTGAGTCGCAAGAGCAACCCACGGGACGGAGGGAAAAGTGGCGGCGGATTCCTTGGTTTTCACTGTTTCGTTCCCAAATCAGATTCGACCGGGCAGGCATATCCAGTTCTCTCCCGGATTGGATTGGGGTGGGAAGGATCTACATCAGAACGCGGCCGGAGCAGCCGCCGGAGCTGCCGTAGTCTTGGTCTCTTTGATTTGCAGCTCCGGCCGCCCGTGTGATTGTAGTCGACCTGCTCTAAAGCTGAGGTGTTCGTCTCTGTCCATCCACAATGGAAGCTCCAGCCCCAGATTGGTCCGGGCTACCAGCGGACATATTGATCAGCATATTCCAGTTGCTCCAGTGCCCGGACCTCCTCCGATCCGCCGCCGTCTGCACATTCTGGCAAAAGGCGTACTCCACGCTCCGCCGCAGCGGCGTCTGCCCCAGTCGGCAGACCCCCTGCTTACTCTATTGTACCGAGGCCGCCTGTGCGAAGGCTCTTGGCATGTACAGTCTCTCCGAACGGAAGGCCTACTCCATGCCCCTCCCTGAACCTCCCATCAGCAACTGGATTGGCTCATCACATGGATGGCTAGCCATCATGGATGAGAAGTCTGACCTGATGCTTCTCAACCCTATCACCGGTGACAAGATTGCACTCCCTCCTGTGACAACCATGGAGCATGTTAAACCTATCGTAAACGAAGACGGGATTCTTGAAAAGTACAAGCTGTCTTTCTATGACGGACAGCTTCCGAGGGTGGAGGATACACCCTATGCATGCCCTTTGGATAGGTACGGAGATCTGGTCTATCTGAAGGCAACTTTGTCGTCCGATCCATCGGCAGGGGAATGCACTGTCATGCTCATCCATCAGCCGTACGCGCAGCTCTCATTCGCCAGAGTGGGAGATGCTCACTGGAACTGGCTCCAAATGCATAGTTTCTATGCAGATTGCATACACCATGATGGCTGTTTCTACGCAATGACTGAGGTAGGCGCAATCGATGAGTTTGATTTGAACGGACCATCTGTTGTCCACAGAAGGATTTTACCAAATCTAGTTGGGATGGTCCAGAAGTGCTACATTGTTCTGGCACCATGGGGAGATTTCCTCCAAATCATTAAGGAGGAGAGTTTGGATCCTGAACAACCAGATGGTGAGACGTATGTCACTGCTTATGAAGTGTACAAGGTTGATTTTGTTGAGCTGAAGCGTGTCAAAATGAGAGGGATAGGTGAACATGCATTGTTCACTGGGAAAAGCACAACATCTTGCTTTAGCGTAAAGAATCATCCAGGCTTGATGGAAAACCATCTATATTTTACTCATGATGATCACGAAGAATTACTCAGCGGCAAAGATGATCCACGTGACATAGGAGTGTACGACTTGGAAAATGATACCAGAACCAATTTGGTTGATCCTGAACCCTGGAGGACGTGGTTCCCTCCCATATGGTTCACACCCAATCTTGCAAAAGCAGGTATATTTCATTTTCAAACAGAACTTTTCCTGATATTATTTTTAGTATTTTGAAATCTGCTTCTCACAGAATAAGAGAATTGCACTTCCAACCTTAAGTGTGTTCCCCTCGTCTGGGTCTGTATTGGATGTTCAGAATAGCTTCAGCATTTGGTTATGTTGAATTTCTTAAACCTCTTTGGCTAAGATTACCATGTTAGTCATGTGTTGTTTTTGCTAAATGACATGAAACGTGATGAGGTTTATAGGTTGGCTTTGATACATTTTTTATGCTGTTGTGCTTGTCTGGCCAAGTGTTATAGAAGAAACGTTGCATTCTCACCTAACAAATAGGCTATCGTGAAGCAGCCAACTCATATTGGGGAAATAAGAAACTATAAAGTGTGAATAGTCTCGAGACGAATGCAAGATAATCTAGATCTAATTGACAATATCAGTGTTATATTTCCGAATATGTATGGAGTAAGTCTCTACCTAATAATAAAGCAAATTGGGTTTCGGCGGTCCGTCATGCACTTTTGCAGAAAACCCCCTGCGTTTTCTATGAATTAACCCGCAGTACACACTTAAGTCATAACCGAACCGTTATTTTACATTTTTACGGAAATCCCCCTAACGTATTAGATAATTCACCCGCCGATCATATACAAGTCAAACACATGTTTTTTCTAAATTATCCATATCTTTTAAACCGTAACTCCGATTTTAACATGTTATATATGAAAATTGATTAGAAAAATGTGTAGAATCTGAATATGATGTTATTTTGTTTGTTAAATATTTTTTAAATATTATTTTGGAAGATATTTAAGTCAAACAAATATTTTTCTTAATTATCCATATCTATTAAACCGTAACTCTGATTTTAACATGTTATATATGAAATTTGAATAGAAAAATATGTAGAATTTGAATATGATGTTATTTTTACCTATTAAATATTTTAAAATATTATTTTAAAAGCAAACTTGTAACCTATAGGGCACGTCCGTTTTTCTTTCGTACCGCGACGATCTGGATTGCAAATAAACAACCACAAAAATCATAAAGAGACGAAAGAAAACATCGATAACCACACATGAGCACCTCTGAACAAACTGGCAGGGGAAAAACAACATTCAAACATACTTTGGTTTGTGTGAACACCAAGGCCACTGAAGATGAGAAGGAGGATAAGCGGCAACACAAAAATGATGCCTCGCTAAAATAAAGGGCATGAACATATTATGGTTATTGGGTTTAGAGTGTGTGTTATTTTTTTCTCCCGTTGCAACGCACGGGCTCTTTTGCTAGTAATACTAATATGGATGGCAGATAATTCAGAATTCTGGATACAATGGACAAATGTGCGTTCACCCTTTACAGTACTGCCATGATCACACACAAACTCCACACGATAACTATAAAACAAACTAGGAAGAATATAAAGATGGTGGTATGTATCCTGTGAAAATGGGCATGTTTTTGATAATGTGAAAATACAATCAGAAAAGCACACGTGCAAGTATCTTAAAATTCTCAAAATAACTCTCTTACTTTGTAAGGACGTTTTGTACATTCATGCCAATTTGAAACTTCAAATCCAGTGTACTTTGTGTGCTACAGAAAAGAAATCCGAATGTGAATAGTGTACTAAAATTAAAACTATGCTTTGACACTATTAGCCTATTTTGTCTTGTTTTGTTTTCGTAAAAGGATTTCTCTTTCGAGAAAGTTTGCACGGCTCTTCCACAATAGTTCACTTTTGTGAGACTTTGTATGTGCTCTTTAAATGGTATGTCAATTTTTTGGAAAGATGTGCATTTTCGCAGGATATGTCCCACTAAATACATTGGGGGTTAAGATGATTTAGCATATCATTTATGTTGTCTGGCCGGGTAAGAAATTCATGCAACAAAAAAACATTTCTTTTAATGTTAAGCTAGCCTTTTTTGTTTCTTCTTATTTTGAGTTTCGTTTTCCTTTTCCATTTGCTTAGAGTTTCTAGATTTGTGCCCCTTCGTTCTCTCTTGCTGTTTCAATTTGTGCAGTTTTGTGCCTTCTTGCCGTTCTTATTCTAATACTGGATTTGGTCTTGTTCGAGAAAAGAGTGCAAATTTCAGCCGATAGTACCTTTAATATTTGTCTTTCCTTTTATATCCAGTTGTTCAAATGTGCACCTCGCTGTTATTTGCATTTTAAGTTTTCTTTGATATTTGTTCTGATTATTATCTTTCATTGGAGAAGTGGTTTACTAATAAGTAAAAAAATTGCAACCGAATGTACAGCAACATTTGACATAAATCACATATCTCATTCTTTAATCTTTATCTATTCTGTTCTCATAGAAGTTACATTAATTCTTGTGAACTGCTAGGGTGATCATTTGTTGACTATTAACTTAATTAGGCTTAATAGCCTATCAGGGCTTATAAATGCACTTACACGGTTACACCACATGTGATGGACTGATCGTGTACCTGTTTACTCTGATAAAATCTCCTTGTCAGTTTTTTCTTCTGTTTAACATGGAACTGAATTATTGCATGGATCCGAAAAGAACCACCTACTACCGTCGATTAAAAAATTGTAGGAATGCTTGCAATCATTGTAACGATGGACATATGTTTATTGTCGTGTTATGTGTTACTTTGCATAGTCCATGTCTTCATGCTTGCTTGAAACAATGCAACCTTTTGCCACTGTCTACTTGCAATAAATACAATTTGCATGGAAAATTAAAAAAGAAAGATTAACATTAAAATTTGAGAGAAGTGCTCATATATCATATTATTATATTCTGGTCACTTTTCGGGTTAGTTGCTAGCTCATTTCCCTGTCAGACTCTCACCTAAAGGTAGGCCATTATAAATCAGTCATTTTTACTATTTTCTCCTGTGGCAAATTTTAGCATGGTTCCTCTTACCTCCCCTTTTCACATGAGAGGTAAGAGTACATAATAGATCTGAGCCAGTGATTTGATTAAACAGTGGTCTGATTTACTCTTACCTTCTTACCTCCCATGTGAAAAGAGGGGGTAAGAGGGAGCATGTTAAAATTACTCTTCTCCTGTTATATATATGACCCTCTCTCTCATTTTTGCGATGTAGCCACATGTTCTGTTAGTACTTCATTAACCTCTTATTCCGTGAGTATCGGTCCTTAACCCAATGCGTAGTCTCACATATTCTGCCTTTCTTTGAATATATGATTTTATATCATACACAAAGAAATTATGAGCTCTTTTACTGTACCCTGATACTCCGAAAGCATGCATTGGAGTACCAGGCAGATTTTGGCAGTCACACGGAAGGGCAACCCCATCATTTCCCAACTGGTACAAAAGGGTATTTTTGGACTTCTTCTCTGCCATTTTGATAGAGCCCGCAGCCCCCTGGTCCTGCCCTTGCTGTGCCGTCGTGCCCTAGCACGCGCCGCAGGTTATCCAAGTTCGAGTGGCGGCGCCCCAGTCCCCAGGTCCTGCCCTCTCCATGCCGTTGTGCCTCAGCGCGCGCTGCCACCATCCCTGTCAAGCGTCTTCGGTCAAGCTGCCACCCCACAACAGGTTCCCCCCTGTCGAGCAAGTTCCCCACATGAAGAACTCTTAGGAATCTTAGAAATTATATATGAACTACATGCCAAATTGGCGTCAAAATTGCCATTGTTTAAGCTGTCAGCTTGCTTTGTGCACAAATTGTTGAAGAGAACAGATGTGCTTCTGCTTGTGCAGAAACTATCAGCTGCGGCATATCAGATTAAGACGCAGCAGTGGTTGTTTTAACACTTACCGTGATGCTCTGACACCGTCCCTAGCAGCCGTGCGCTCATTCAGAATGCAGAATTGTCTTTGTTTCGCCATCAATCTTACCAACAAAGGTTAATCCAATATGACAACTCTGTTTTTTATATGATCAAGCCAAGCTGCTGCGAATGAATTGCAGATTCCGAGCTTTGATACCTTTTCATAGAAGAAAAGAAGTTAACTTATAAGACTATACTGACTACAACATTTCTTACATGGTGTGTTCATAAGAATAAGAATGAAAATTTGGCCTTCACTGTGAGCCTCCCATGGAATCCTTCCTTGTTCCATGCTGAATTCTGATTGCATTTTTCTGTTCTGTCAGGGCTGTTGGCCTTTTTGTTTGCCCTATGGATTTTTTTAATTCTTTTGGTTATTCTACAATATCTACTGCAATACATGGAATCCTTGATCGCCTCTTATGATGAATTAAGTCATTTACAATTTAACCCTGTGAGTCTAATAACACTGATCTTACACATTCTAATATTTTTACTTATCTACAGATGCCATGTGCGCCTGCACCCAAGGGGTGTCGACTTCTGCAAGTACAAGTGTGGTCACAGCAAGCAGCTGAGGCCCAAGAAGAAGATCAAGAAGTAGAGTGCCACCAGTCAGTTTAATGGACCTGTTAAAATCCATCGCCGTGTCAAAGTTTATGCTTCGTTATTGTCTCCTGTGGTCGTTGAACCTTGTTTACTTTGCTTTCAGCCTCATATTGCTTTGGTGATCTTTGAAAGAAAATTTGTATCATGACTATGATGAAGGTAGATGATGTTGCTGCGTAAATTGTGGTCATTTTCATCCTGCTACAGTCTGCTCTTATAAAATGTCTGCAGAAGAATGTGTGATCACACTGCTGACATTGAGTTTTTATCCCACCACCAAATCGAAGTCCTCCTGGGCTATCGCCTCTGCTTTCCACGATCCCCAACAACTACATACGCTCATGATCAAGACGTGAGAAAATTTGTATAGTCAGACAAATCCCGCGTCGGCTGGTGCGCGACGCCGCCGCTGTTTCACAGGCTTAACCTATTTCTTTTTTGAGGATTCCTTCACAGGCTTAATCAAACCTGGCCACATGTCCTGACTGTGTATTAAAAAAATGTTAAAAAATTGGTACAGCCGGGACATGTACCTTTTTCTTTTTTGACTATGTATTAGAAAATGTAAAAAGAAAAATGGTACAGCCGGGACATAGTAAAAAAAGAAATAGC